AATTATATCAGGTAACAATAAAAATATTTTAAATACACCACTTAAATTGTATGTACTGTAGCTAGGATACTTGATTATATTATGGATGCAATAATGAGTAGTTTACTATACTGTCCTTACTTATTTTACACAGCAATAAAAAAGATCAGTAAGATCTTTTCAAAGGATGGGATATATCTCATTACTCCAATGAAAAAAAATTCCATTTTCTCTCATCATTTCACTCTTAAAATGCAGTGAAAATTTAGGACAGGGATGTGGGACCAAGTACAAGAGATGGAATTTCTGACTTTAAGTTACATGAAAATTGTGGTAGAGATAACCTTCTAGAAAGTTGTTTAAACATTCTCTGCCCTTAATGTTTTTGCTAATTTGAGGTATCATTGATCTCAAATTACTGCCAATATGGTTATCTTTTTAATTTCTATCTTCCTGATCCCTGCATGGTGAAGCCAATTGTCACGTATTTATGAATTTTCTTTATATGCCCTTTGCTCATCTCCTTCCTCTGTGTGGAATTCTTTTTCTCTTATTTCAAGGAACAATTTGCATATTATGAATGTTAACAATTACATGTGTCAAACATTTTCTCCCAAGAGCCTCCAGAAGGCACTAGATGCTGCTAAGTGTGCGTTCTCGCTCTGGTTCGTGCACCACCCACCCCTCCATGGTCTCCTTCCCACTTGCCCTTTGGGTAAGTCTGTTTCCTGCTTTATTTGTTTCCCTACCAAACTAGAAGGGAGCACGGATATGGAATTAAATATTTAAACAGGGCTTATGACAACTTTAGTTTAGTTAGAAAGGATATGGAAATGCCTCACTCCGTGTGTATAGAGGTTTTTCTGTGTTTCCTGTCTATTACAATTTTTCATGAAGTGACTTTTCCTTCAGAACCATGAACACTGACTGACTATATATGCCAGTGAAAATGGAGAGCTCACTGACATACTGGCTGATGAAACGTAAAAAAAATGTAGTCAGTCATTTAGATACCCTAATGATCAGATATTTCACTAGTCGAAGGTACGATAAGTTACCAAACATTTGGAATATTTATGAGACTCTCCAATGTAGAATGTTTTTTTCAGGCAGATGCTGTGCTAACCTATTTTCTTATGTTATTAAAACAACAACAACAACAACAACAACAACAACAATAGAAGCCCACAAAGAGTAATCACTAATTCACATGAAAAGTATTGGAGACAAAAGATAGGTCAAAGTAACACCATTGTGATATTATGAAAAACAGTCTAGAACCTAAAAATGTCATATCATTCAGGAATCATTTGAATTACTAGCTCTTGAAGATACATAGAAGAGGGAGAAGCGAATGCTCAATAATATTTTTTAAAACAATGAATTCCTATAGTAACCTCCCAATCAATAATTACTGATCTCCCCAAATCAATAATTACTGTCCTCTTGCTTCTCCTGGTTTGTGTGTGCCCAGCCATTCACACCTTTCCTTACTGTGTCTGTTTTATTCAGACTAAATTGAGAGTCTTTCTTTGGTGCTAAACTAACTTAAGTTTAATGGAGTATATTTTATGGCTTAGCTATATTCACTAATAACCATTGAAAATCTTGCTTGAGGTAATCATTGAGACCAGGAAATTAAAAATTTTCATTTCTTTCTTTTTTAAAAACATACTTAGAGAAAAATTTTAGAAGTATATGACTTGAAATGTATTCTTAAAATTATATTATGGATAATAAAGGTGAGCTATCTTTGTTTAGCTAGGAAGCATATTACCTTATACTTTATAATATTTTAAAAATACTTGTATCTAAAGATAATCATCACATTTGCATTTGAAATCTACCTTTTTTCCCCTGGAAAACTACACAAGTCATTATACTTCTTTGCTTTGTTTGCTCTTAAATAATTTGAGAAGATTTTGATATTAGTTGAATATTGAGATTTAATGTTAGGCATGGTAGATTCTATTGCTTTAAACTTTTATTTTATATCTTTAATGCTTCTTGCTCTTGGTAAATTATAATTTAGGAAGGCAGAACAATCTTAGTATGCAAAAAGAAAGTATTTGTCAGCCAAGATAATCAACATTTATGCGAACTGAAAATTTTCAATATTTATGAAGATTTTTAAAATGTAGAAAATGTTACAGGACTGTTTACAAATTAAGAAGTCCTTCTTCCTGGAACCCACAAAGTAGATTTTTACCTATTTTAAAATATAAGAATACAGTAGCATACTTTGAAAATAGTTTACATTATAATGGGCAAATTAATCTTGTCACCCAGAATGAGGCAGGCTTATCATGGGCTGGCAATTTAGGAAATTGCTCTAGTTATGTCTTGTCATGATAAACGTGCATTTCTACCACCTTTTCTATACACAGGTCATCTGTTTCTGTTCACTGGGCTTGGCGTCCAATGAGGCAAGTAAGACTTGAGCTCAGTCTGTTGTCTCGATAAAAATCCTGGTAACCCCAGTGGTTGTAAGGATTCCCAGCGGTCCTTAACATGTTCTCTGACAGTGATTATACTCTACTTTTGAGCACAAGTGACTAATTGCTGGTATATAATAATAAAAAATAATGTCATAATGTTATAGTACAATAAGAGTTAGTATTCCTCCTGACTTTAATTCAGGTTCATGTCTCTTACAGAAAAAAAATTCCTTGGAAAGGGCAAAAGGGAACAGAAGTGCTCATTTTGCACCACTTCATGAAACAAAATTTGGAAAACTTTACTAATACATCTTGTTCTATCAACATACAGGGTCCAGCACAAATAACACCTTTATAAATGACAAAATTAAGCATGTAATTTTGTAATATAACAATATCACACTCAAGAACACCATGTAACATTTTAGGTGAAATGTTCAAATTAAAACTATAAATTATTATAATCATATTATTACTCTACCAGCCACACTCAAGCAGATATCACTTCTGCGGGACTCTGTATGTTCTTCAGGAATACCAATGGGTCACTAATTAATTAACTAACTAATTAAACAATGAAGCCCATTCATTATATGTTTTTTTACAAAGAGGGATTCATTTGAAGACAGATTCCTACTTTGGCACATGATGGAGAAAAATAGGATAATCTTGGGAGATATCAAATTAAGCATGACTAGCTTGTAGTGGTCGATTTAACATGTGACACAGAAATTAACTGTGGATATATTGTAGGCTTTGGTGTGGGGTAGCAAGGATGATGTGGCAGGCGCACGTGTAAGCCTCTATTATAAATATATGGTCTTGAACACTTTAAATCTGTGAGTATCCTGAGTATGCCCAGACAAGAGTTTTTAACTGTGAGCATAAATTTGTTTTCCCTAAATGTGAAACAAAGCCAACCAGGGCTGCTCAGGGAAGAGAAGATCATCAAGGACCTATTTAGACAGTTGCTTCTAGGTAAAAAAAAAAAAAAAATAACAGTCTTCAGTCAAAGATGTGTCAATCCTAATTTTAAAGATTGATTAGGCAGCTGATTTTTTCTTCCTTCTGTCCTTGGAGAAGATGAAAAATAACAGGTCCCCTTCCACTTTAGACTAACCATTCATATACTTCATGACAGTTAGGTTTCCCTTGAGCCTTCTCTTCTCCAGGACAAATTATGCTAACTCCTTCAGTCTGTCCTCATAGGTCCTATTCTTCAAACACTAAATCATCCTTTGGTTCTCCCCATATCTTTTCCAGTTTCTTCAAAATCATTTAAAAAATTTAAAGCCTTAAATGTTACTTCTTTGTTTATATTAGTTAGATTAGAACTTTGAGAGAATATTTGTGTCTCCATTCTAAGTCAGAGCAACAGCCAGCATGGCACAGGTCCGTGGGGTGAGAGGAAGAAGAAGAAAAGGAGGAGCCAGGGAGCAGACTAATATTCACCTCCATGGGTTTGATAAGCATATAGAGGAAAAACTGTGCTGGGAAAAGTGTAGTAGGATTTATTATGTCCTTTGGGAAAATACCAAACTGCAAAATTATTAAAACAATCCGAGCTGCGTTTGAGTTTTCTGTAACTAAATAACCTGATACCTCTCTTCACTAATTATAGTTCTGCAAAGTAAAAGATTAATATGTGAACATCATGCCAAATTTAGCCCCCCCCACCAAATGTAATAGATGAAGATGAGCAGTGCTCCCTCAAAAAAGGGCATAGGGATTTAGCATCAGAGTGACCTCAGCTTAATGAAGAGCTAGAACCACTTTTTCAAGCAGATATTAATGCAAAGAGGGGACATTGGTGGAGCATTACCTAGCATGGCTTCATTTCCTGGTGGTATATGACCCATAGAAAGAGTATAACATTGGCTTTGTTGACATGCTGTTCTGGATTTGTGGCATCCCATTGTCTTTTATGCAGCCTCACCTTGACTTTGGGTGATTAGCATACTGTAGTCATTTCCACCTCTCTATTGCATGAGAGCCAAAGAGAAAGCCATAATCTTATAAAACAAATTCCCCTCCACAACAAAATTATTATGAGAGCAAGATTCCACTGTAAGAACCTAGAATAAAAATCCTAAACTTTCTAGTCTTTCTTACTTCAACTCAAGTGTATTACTAATTGAATTTTGTATTTATTTGATAACTTTCAACCTAAAGTCATATCTATGACAAAAGTAAAATACCTGGCATTGATCCTCTTGATTCTGGATTGTACACTAGAAATGATGTGAACTGCCTCATAGCCCCCACAGGAGAAGAATTCAGTCACTATGAAAAGATGGTACTTATTCTTCCCAATATACTTCTTATAAGTCAACAATAAATAATAGGCATTGAACAAAGTCAACTTACAAGAGATTTAGTTCCCCATTGGAAAGCTCCATGATTCACCCATTGCTGATTTATTTTCACTTTTGGGTGGGGTAAAAATATAAATTGGCCATGCCCATTTTGAAAAACCACAGGCAGATCTTATGAGAAGGCTCTTGTACTGAATGGTGTGCAGTGGTGAAATAGTTGTATTTTGCACTAACCCCTCTTTGAAAGCTAATGCATATATGGTCTTACCATTTTTGCAGACAGGACAACACTGCTCTGGTTCATAGACTGGGTTGACACACTCAGGAACTGCGCAGTCTGCTACAACACAGTGAACTTCATTGCTGGGCTCACAGCGACACCATTCACATGGAGAGGGCTAGGAACAAATCTAAAATTAGCCCCTTTTCTCCTATAACTCAATGCTTGCACATTCATATGCTGTCAGAAGACAAAACATTAGTGTTTATATTGGCTTTACTGTATGAACTCCATTTACCATGTGTAGGATCGTTCCTCCCCAACAGAAGGCAACCTTGGCATTCAAGCCATAGTAGGTTGCCCTGTGCAGCTCAGGTTGCCATGAGCAACTGGGCCCTCACATATAACTTCCCCTGTCTATGTTCCGACTTTCCAAGTTTTTGGACAACTAATATGTCACATCCTGGGTGAGTTTCCAGATGTGCTGATGGCTCTGCCTTCCCCTGGTAAAGAGGAACCAGCCTGGAACATAGAAAATATGTTTGTACCATTTGTCATTTTCCTTCCTAAGAAAATTACTGAGAAACAAGAAAATGGTATGTGGACATTCTTACCCTTTGTATGAACTCTTTCTTTTTCAAGCTAACCTAGACTTTAAATGGCATGTTTTCAATGTGAATTTTGGAGGAGATTGCATTTGGCATCTAAACATCCAGGTAGTGCCTCTTGAAAGATTTCGGGAATACCCTGCATCTTGCCTGCTTGCTTTTATGAATGATTGAACTTCTAGTGACTTAAAAAGCCACTCTTTAAAAGTCAAAGACTCTGCAAATAGAACTGAAAGGTACTTCAAAGGAAAAGATAAATTGAATGTAAATTATAATTGAAAAAGAGAAAAGAATGGAATCAGAAAGCAATTTTTGTCTTCCAAGTACTTACCGACCAAGAGTGAGTTTGGGATTTCGTTTCCTTTTAGAAACTGCCTATACCACAAATGACTGTAGTCAGTGGCCAGTCTGTAACTTCTACATTCTTTACAGGTCCTAGCCCTCCTTTTCCATGAAACAGAGGTTTAGAATTCTGGAGTGACAACTTGGAGGTCTAGGAAGTTATGCAGGTCTATACTTCGAAAATCAAGCCATTTGTTTCCATAAAATTCTGCCTTGCTCCCTTGCGGATTGTGTTCGTGAACGCCCTTTGCCTTTGTCTTAGTGGCTACTCTCCATAACCACCATCAGCTCTTGTTTCTTTGTGAATCTGAAAATTTGGGTAATATCAGTGCTCCTGGACTCAGGTACCCTGTAGGGGTAGAACTTTTTCAACTAATTATTTTTAATTTTATATTTGGCTTCTGCTTGAAGAATGGTAATCTAGCTTTCAATTAATGACTTTACTTTCAAGTTTGGAAGGAACAAAAGAAGTAGCCTAAGAATCTGTGGGAAAAAGTATTGCTATTTTTTTTAACATGGCTAATGAGTTTGTTGTAGGGTAGAGTTAAGCTCTTTACCATGTGGCGAGTTGCATTAAGTATTTCTGAATTTATTGTGCCAAGCGCAGGGATTTTTCTAATGCTCTTCTACTAAATAATCTCAGTACATGAAGGGAAAGCTTTGATACCACAGCACATTATTTGTCAGAGGGAATGTTTAATGAGGAAGCCTTGTGAGAGATGGAAATTCTTGCTGCTGTACTGTTCCATTGTGGTGTCTTACATCCCCAGGAAGAACTGCCAGGAGATGTCCCCATTTCCTTGGTCAAGAGCTAAGCAGTAGTTTTGCACAGCCTTCTAAAAGTATAGCTAGGACTTGGCCAGCATTTCCTGCTAATATGAGAGAAAAACCAGCCGTTGTTATCATGGCTTCCACACCCTGCCCTTGCACAGCTGTGACTGTTTTTTCTGGCTGGTTCCCTTCTTGCTGAAGAGGTGGGGGTGGGGGGCTGATCTGGGCAATTCCAATGGACTGATTCTGGCATTAAAAATCCCAAAGGCCCCCCTAAATGTTCCCATGCAAAATGTGGACCTCAGAGTAATTGTGGTCTTTGAGAAGGACTTGTTGGGCAATTAGATTTGCAGCACAGAGTGATGAAGAATATGAATCTAATTCCAATGTTTTTGAACATTATTAACTACTGGGTAATTACACTGTTTGAAGGAAGATTTGTTATTTCTCCATCTCACAGCTGAGGATATAGGCTGAGAGAGGTCCGGTGGCTTCCCCAGGCACCATGGCAGGCAGTAAAGGGCAGAGGCAGGATTCTGATCTCAGTAGCCTAACTGCGATAGGCGCTGCCACGTGATAGCAAGAATTGCTTGCTATTCTGTGAGCTCCCATCTGAATGTTTTATTTTTCAGTGATTTGTACACTTCTTCATACAAACATGATCCTCAGGAACAGCCATTTAACAACTCAATAATTGCTTTACAGAAGATAGATATTTCCTGTTAAGGAGGAGATTTCACTAACTAGGGTAGTAAGTGCATGGGTTATTATGGAGCCAGAGATTTTTGACCTTCTGCTGCTGTGAGTTGGTAGAAAATTGTAGCAGGCTGAAGTTAGAGTGCATGAGGCTCATGTTCTAGGAGCCTGGCCTATTCAAGCCTTGGAGCCTGGCAGTGACATGTGAATGTGTCTGGGAAAAGCAGTGACAGATCCTGGTCCAGTAAAGACCCTGGAGCGTCTGACCGAAGTCAGTGGAGGCTGGATGTGTGTGTACTGGAATCCCTACAAATACTCTGAGTAAGAACTAAGGCTGCAAGGCTTCCTGGGAAAAGTATGTCTGTTTATATTTTTATTCCTATTTTTAAGGGATTTTGAATAATCAAACATAAATTGGAAAAATCAAAATGTCACCACAGCCATTGGCTTTATTCATACGCCACATCCCCATGTCCCTTCCTGGCCCACAATCTCTTATCTGAAACAGGTTATTTCCTCTTTTCATTCATTTTTTCCCAAACAATGTCTGTGTTTCAGTCTATTTCTTTTCATTTTAAGCCTCCCTGAGCCCCTCTCCTTCCCCATTTACAGTCTATCATATTTAACCCATCGGTCTCCCAGTACAACCCCTTCTGTGTCTTGCCGTCCCCTTTCATAAGCTCACCAGTTTGAACACCATTGTTTTCTTGCCCAATGTGACTTCCCTCACTGCCCTCATCTTCCCTGCACTTGTGACAACACATTGCTTAAACATTGAGACGATTCCTAGGAGTGGGCAGGGTGCTACTTTGACATTAGGTTCAGAGTTTAAAACTCCTTCCCACCAAACAGTATAAAATGCTGAAAGGTTTGGTGCTTTCAATTAATCTTTACATCTTATGCATTGAGTTGTTTACAGATTTCCTCTTACCAGGCTCTTCAATATGAAAACTGTAGATTAGATCTGGAAATGTCCCTGTAAAACCTAAGATTAAGCAGCAAGATTTTCCTTAGAGGAACAGAGGACACTGAAATAAGTACTTGGGAAAAAATCACTCTGACTAGCTTTTTGTAGAGGAACCCATGAATTATGTCTAGTGCACAGCTCTAGTCAGCTAGAGATTTGGTAAGATAATTAAATGACACCATCCTAAAACTTTATACCTGGAAAGTCTTTTTATAAGAAATATCAAAGAATATCTTGCTTTTTTGAAAGCTTTGGAAAATAAAGTAACATTCACTATATATATACCTTTATGTAAATCTTGATTGAAATTAGGGTTAGAGGTTAAATTGATTTGTTACTGTATGTACTCGATGATGGAGTACATGTCTCTTAGGAATCCCTACCCCTCTAGCTTAGTGTTTTGAATATCTAGTGTGGGACCCTGTTTAAGTAAAAACTTGGTATTTTATCTGTAGTTCCTGCTATCACTGAATACATTTGTATGGCAAATCCAAATGTTGTCCCAGCTGCCCCCCAAATTTCAAAGGGAGTTTTTCTCATATATATATATATTTGAGTAAAAGAATCTCTCTTAAATATTGGTTTAGGTGACTAGAATCCAAATTTTCCTCCTCAGTGTTAGAATGGAGACACAGCAATTCATTTCATATTCAAACTGGTTAACTTCTAAAGACCTTGCAGCTGAAATCCCAATGTCCCCTGTTCACGATTTTTGAAGATTGTTGGAGAATTGGAAGAGAGGTACCAGAATCCTGGAAACAGAAGAATACTCTATGATGTGAAGTAGGAAGAGTGGAATGAGAACCAGTAACTAAATTACTGAATAACCGATTAACTCCTGAAAAATTGTCAAATACGTTCTTGTGAGATTTGGAAGCTAACAGTCAACACAGGATTATTAGAACATGTTGTTATAGATTAGCTACATGTAACTTTCCAAATGTTTATAGAAATGCACATTTATTTTGGATTTCATATCCATAACTGAGGAAAGCCTGGATGTTTCATCCCTACGTCAATATTTCTGTAGTAACTGCTGTTGGCATTGCTCATAAAGTGCCCAGGAGGAAGTAGTAACAGTCTGTAAGATTTGTGATATGAATTCCAACCTCCAAATGGCAAGGGTCATATTAGCATTCATTTTACTATTTTAATTTGGTGAAGTTTAAGATATTCATACAAGTTTAGGAACCATAATTAGAAAAAATAGAACAAATGTTTCACTTACTAGGCTTTATTTGGGTGGTTGTGGTGTCATGGTTAAAAGGAAGTTCTTGATAACCATGATACTTTGCTTACTAGCTGGAAATCTTGGGGAAATTGCACAACCTCTCTGTGCTTTAGTTTCTTAATCTATACAATGAGAATAACAGTATTACCAACTTCACCAAGTTATTGTGAAGCACATAAAAATATATAATGAATATCATAACCATCATTATTGTGTACTTAGTTATGGCTTTCTAAAAAATTCAAAAAGTATAAAACTGGAACCCTATGACTGTTTAAAAGAATAAGTAAGTTATTTCTCTTGTTCAAAGTGCAATCTGATTGCAGATAAAGTTCGTGAAAAAGTTTTATGGGACATGATTTGGTGGGAGGGGATTTGTGAACGAATAGATTTAATCATGATAGAGACATTAAAAATTATTAGAGGCCTCTATATGAAGAATAATTGTGAATGGTTGAAATGATCATTCAAATTCACTCAGAAGAAAAAGAGCAACAAACCCATTTCCTTTCCTGAAGTCTCATCACTTAGATGTCAGCGCAGATGCCCGCCCTCTGGGGAGG